CTCAGTTAACATTTTGGTTCACAACCACCTAATCTCATCTATGACCATGGTTCTTGAAATTTTTGGTCTCAGAACACCTTTATACACTAAAGAAAAAGAAAACATTGAGAACCTCCAAAGAGCCTTTGTTTATGTGGATTATATCTATTTATATTTACTAGAAATTTAAACTGAGCAATTTAAAAATATTTATGAATTTAGTAAAAATATGAATAAGTTAATGCAACTAAAGAGGTGTAACAGTAACATGCTTTGTTTTTGGAGGACAGAATTGTGATTATTTACTCTTATTTACTGTCAGCAATTATCAATAATAGATATGATTTTTTTTTTCACTGATATTAAGAGACTTCACAGATGACATTCAAATAGTCACCACAAATGTTCTAGACCAGCAATCAGGAGATGTAGTTTCTAGCCTGACTCTGCTGTAACTTTAATTTCTCTTGGACTTCATTTCTACATAATGAAGATGAACCAAGCAAAATGCCTGTTTCCTTTCAAAATCCAAACTCCTATCACCTAAGTCACCTGATGATCACAAGTCCTACAACATTTGGGGGTCACCCTTTTCTATAAAACCTAGGCAGAGAGTTTTTGTGCCTACCCCTAGATCACAATAGGGTCTAACCTCCCCACCACTTTCCTCTTCCAAAGGCCATATTTTTAATGTGTTTTGAAAATAACAGAAATTGTTTCACATCCAACACTAACCCAGACCGCATGGAAGCCCACCCCTCCTCTGTTGTTGCCATATACTGAATGTGCTGCAGTCAGCTTCCATTCCTTAATGATGGTGACTACTGAGAGCTCAGGAACTGACACCTCTCTTCCTTAATCCCATCAAAGCACCATTAATACAGTAACAAAGATTTTTTAAAAGGCCATTACATATGAATATAAATAAATTTTATGAAAATATTTTTTAAAACAAAGAGCTACTTTATTTAACATTTTTGTAGACCTCTTTAAAACATGGCATACTAGAATATAAATGGATTCTCGTATATACTTCATTTGCTCTCAGAGCAATGTCCTCTCAGGGCCCTACCTACCCATCCATCCAGGTTCCCCTTGACTATACTTTGTGAACCACTCCTCTGTGATAAACACAGAAAAGGAATTATGCAGGTGGTGCTCACTGTATTGCTCCAACATAGTACCCAACAGAGAAAAGATGCTCAACAAAGTTGTTGGGTAAATGAATAAAATAATACATTTTTAACTTAAAAAGACTTTGTTACTCACTTTTTCACTTCATTTTCAATGGAGTTGCAATGCACGTGCCTTTTACATAAGCAGCTTTACAAGCGTCCATGGGAGTTCTTTAGCATTGAGGCATTCAGTATTCACTCAGATATCTAAGCCAGAAACAGCCAGTATTTGTTGACAAAAGCGTAAAAAAGGAACATGTGACTAATTTTAACAAATCTCCAACCAGTGGCCCAGAAGCAAATGTAGTATTTATTGTAAATAGTCATGGGCAATTTAGGGGCCTTGCAAGGACATATTTTTTTATAAATAATTGCCTTACAGGCTAATATTGTTTTATGCCATGTGTTCTTCTACATTATTATTTAAATTAGCTGCCTGATGCTTTATTTGGGTTGGTGTTTTTAAATCTTCTGATGAAGACTTAGGTTTTGATTTTTTTGTTTTTAGCTTTTCTATATGTTACTACTACATTGGCATCTTTTTAACTATATCTAGGTTCATTCCTCCTTCCTTCATACAAAAAATATGTGTGTGTGTGTGTGTGTGTGTGTGTGTATCATTAAGTGACCCTCCAGAAAATATTGTATCAATTTTGGTCAATCATAGCTTATGATTAAGATAAGCATTGTGAATTTTGCACACTTATCAAAGCTCAGTAAGTTTACTAATTAGTAATAGTGTATAGAATTAGGAATGAATCTCATGAACAGATCATTCTCTGGATGATAAGGGAAGAAATAGCTTTCAGCATGCTGAGTGTCATTACCTTACTCTCCCATGCAATAAGAAGCAAGATTTTCAGAATCCTTTTCAAAGAATATTAGGATCTTCTTAAGAAAGACCTAATAGGTGACAGTATTATTTTCACATCTTCTTCAATATACGAAGGCAGTAAAAGAGGAAGCATTAGCACCTGAAGAGAAAACTTCACAGTCACAGACATCTACATTAAATCATCAAAGCTTTCTGCTGAGTTAACACCTGTAGTTACAGATCTCAGCAGAAGAAAATTATACCTGTCTAGTCATATGCACAGATGATTGAAAAGTCAGGACAGATATTATTTTGTGCTGTGTATTTTTGACACATACTACAATATCTTTATTTCATGATATAATTATTCTACATGCCTCCCCCTTGCTACCCAATCCCATAAAACACTATAGAGAGAACATTCATATCTGAAATATTTACAAAAATAGTTTGGTTGTATTCAGTATATAATTTCAAAAACTATATCATTGCAATGATTATTATATCTTTTTTTTAAGTTTATTTATTTATTTTGAGAGAGTGAGAGTAAGGGGAGGGGTAGAGAGAGATAGGGAGAGAGAATCTCAAGCAGGCTCTGCACTGTTAGCACAGAACTCGATGCATAGATCGAACTCATGAATCATGATATCATGACCTGAGCCAAAATCAAGACTTGGAGGCTTAACTGGCTAAGCCACACAGGCACCCCAGGATTATTATATCTTAATCATTTCTATAACTGGAAATTATTTCCTTATGCATCTCTTAGATTAATGATTCAAAGCAGTAGGACTTAATATTAGAGAAAATTGTTGCCGTTAGAAAATTTGGTTTTTTTGAAAAACACATATTTTTAGAGAAATGGTTCTGGGACTCTCAATTATGTCAGCTATCAGATCATATTAGATCAAATCATACGAAATTAGATCAAATGATTATAATTGACTAGAAGATTTATAGGAAAAACTAATGTATTTTTTTTTATTTAGGATTATCATGGTCCGATTCTTACAAGTCTTCATAACTTGGTAGTATCCTCTTCCCCCCCCCACACCCATGTCAGCCAGCACATACATTCATGTGCCTGCATGTACATACACACACGTACATATGATTCTTCTTTAGTGTAGAGCCCTGTACTTCCTCAATTCTTCCTTGCATGATGCAGCCCTGAGAAGTGTTCTGTGTGGGCTAGTAGTCATTCCTAAATCTGCCTGCTGTAGGCTCGCCTAGGCTATCCTAGCAGACTTTCTGAAAGTACAACCTGAGACTTAAACCTCATGAAATAGATTCTGAGGGTAGGACCATCTTTATTCTCTATAAGCTTTCTAATTTTCAGATAACTTTTTGGAAACCCAGTTTAAATGACCTAGCCTCATTCTGGAAGTGTAGGGAATAAGACCCATTATCTAGCTCCAACAGGGAAGTGAAATAATAATATATACTGCTCTTTGAGAGAGCTGTAGATAGCAAACACTGCTGATGCTTCTTTGTAGATAAAGTACTGGGCCCTCAGGGAGGAAAGACAGGGTGCCTTCAATATTTAAAAGGACTCACTGTGTATGAAACAGAGCCCAGAGCTTCTTAACTTTTTTTTTCCATTCATTGATTCAGCAAATATTTATTGAGTTACTAAGCATCAGGCCTCATTCATGGGAGTTGCATTCTAATTGAAGAAGGTTATAGAAATATCAGCAGTAACAGCAGAATACCAGATACTAATGCCATGCAAACTTAAAACAGGAGAATATGATAGTTGCCTGGGCAGCTGTTTTAGAGTGTGTGGTCAGGAAGACCTAACTTTTAGCAAAACGTAGGAAATTTAAGATGAACTAGAAATGGACAACCATGTTTAGATCAAGGGGAAAACATGTCAGGGCAAAGCCCTGGGGTGAGAATGACTTTGGCATGTTTGAGGAGGTAAAAGCAGGCCAGTGTGAATGGAGTATAGTAGATGAGCAGGTAGGTACAGAAGAAGCAGGAGACACTAACAGGTACCTGATTGTGCGCAGTATGGAAGCTAGAGTTGGAAACCAGTTGAAGGGTTGTTTTGAGGGAAATAATGTGGTCATCACACGATCATCAGAACCTTTTTCAAACTGGCTGCTCTGTATAGAATGGATTTTAAGTAGACAAAACAAGAGGCCTAGAGGATTTAGAAAGGTAGGAAGCCATTCTGTGAGCCACACCAGAAATGATTTTGGCTTGGGCTCTGGTTGTCATAGAGATGGTGAGAAGTAGGTGAAATCAGCATAACTTGCACATCATATGAAGGTAATTGGATGTTGTCGAATGAAGGTGACTTGACTAGTGATTTGATAAGCAGCCTCAGATGATGGCTTTTTAGTGTTGGCTCAAATATTTTTAAATATATCGCATATAAAATTCTGAAATTCTGTTTTCTCTTAAGAAACTAGAGTATCTGGCTACATTGAGTCTGAATTCTCATATGGCAGCAGATGTTGGGAGCTGAATATTGGCTTCCCACTTTAGGAGATGGGTATAGGCTCTGGTTTGCAAAGCCTCCATCTATCCTCATTGTTTTCCTGACAATGAGGCTATTGTTGGTTGCCATTTATCATCAATTTATTCTATTCTTTTTCCTATCTCATGTACACTTAATTATTTATCATATCCTGTAGGCCTTTTAATTTTTGGGTCTCACCTCTGATAGAACGTAGGAAAAAAGCTATAGGGTACCTATGAACCTCTATATAGGTGTAAAAATGGTCTGTTTGCCAGCATACTAACAATTATATAATAATAGTGTTCTTTAAAACCAGCTTGTGCTGTTAGAAGCCAGGTTGGTTACCCTTGGAGACATTTCCTAGAAACACAAGAAGGGTTTTTGGTATGATGTGAGTGTTTTTGCTTTGTGAAAAATGCTCTTATGCATACTTACATGTGTATTTGATGTATATTATACTCCAATTACAACTAAAAACTAATATTATTTTTTACAAATGATTTGAAGTATAAATGTATTTTTGTTGAGAGCTGTGTATTTTATAAATTACTTTTTGCTCTTTCAGCCAAGCCAAAGCCATGTACTCTTGTAAAGCAGAGCACAGCCATGAACTTTCTTTCCCACAGGGGGCAATATTTTCTAATGGTAAGTATACCCATTCCCTTTGCTTAAGTTTATTATCATGGGGATGATGAAGGAATAGTAATGGGATAAGAAGCTAAAGTAGAAGCCAGGAGACTCAGAATCTGCTCTAGCCCCTGCCTCTCATAACCTGTACAAGTTAATACACTATATTTCTCTGGAGCCCAGTTTCCTCCTATATATGAAAGAGAGGGAGAGAGAAGGAAGAAGGAATGGGGGGAGATAGGAGAGATGGAAGGATGGGAGGGATTGGGAAGGAAGAGAGATTGGTTACATGAATGCAGAGGACATTTCCAGCCTTAAAGGTGCTTTGACATTGTTTTGACAACTTGAGTATATTTATGCAATCTGATGTGCATTTTTACCCATTTGTGTATATAATTATTTGAAGCTAATGCTGATTGAATGACATTTTTTTTCATTTTTGCCAGTATACCCATCAGTGGAACCAGGATGGTTGAAGGCAACTTACGAAGGCAAAACAGGACTAGTTCCAGAAAATTATGTTGTCTTCCTCTAATACTGTTTAGTGGATGGCAGTATCTTCATGGTATCCATGGTAACAATAATAAGTGCTATGATTTTATCTGACACAGATATGGGAATCAGCCCACTAAATGAAACGTAAATTTCTATCAAGTTCTACACCAGCAGACCATGTAGCTCCCTATAAATGAAAAAGAAAAAAAATGCATAAATTGTTAGCCATGCCATTCTTTTAATTTTTACTTCTTGACTGGTTTCTTATTTTAAAATCTTGCCCCCACCCTTGTTTTTGATAACTAACTCTGCACATTGTCTTTTCCATAACAATTGTAGAATACTGTGTTAAGTACTATATCCCAGAAATTTGGAAACTAGAAATTTGCTGTAAGGATTTTCAGATAAGTCCTTTACTGTCTGGAATTCTCTGAGGAACTTTGAAATCATTACTTAAAATGTAATTTAAATTATTCATTCATTATTTTTTCTTACGAATTTCTTTCTTTTCTATGTCATTGTTTTGCTGGTCCTAAACATTTCAAGGAAATAAGTTGTTGTTTTTTTTAATGTTAAGTTTATTTTTATTTGTTTACCAAGTAGATGATGATATTCAAAAGGAATAATGTAAATGATGTCTATAAATGAAACCAAGTTAAGTCATACACTGATTTCAATATAAACACTCCATTCAGCATTCCAGATGCCTTCTATGGGTATAGAGTGGGGATTAGCAAACTATTTCTGTCAAGACCTGATAGTAAATATTTGGGGGTTTTGTATACCCTAAAGGTCTTTACTACAGTACTCAACTGCCATTGTAGCAGAAAGCACTCATAGATAATGAATAAGCAAATGAATAAGGCTTAGTGCCAATACAACTTTATTTATGGACTCTACAGCTTGAAAATTTTCGAAATTCTCATTCTTAAAATCCATTGAAAAATAGAAATATTTTAGCTGTTGGGCCATGTAAAACTAGTGGCGGGCCACATTTGACTCATGGGTAATAGTTTGCTGATGCCTGGTTTAGAGGAGGTATAAAACTATCTTTATAACTTTGGGATTTAATGAAATTTTACCACATTAACATATAAATACTGATAAGTCATATGCACATATCATCTGATAGTGGCATTACAGTGGCATCAAAAAATATAATAAAATGAAAACAATGTAAAAAGTGGATTTTTAAGGCAGCAGCCTAAATTCTACTTGTAAGACTATGAAGTTTCAATGTATTTTATTGATATCTAATATTGGCTTTTGAGAAATTCTTGTACAGATGATAAAGATTTTTTTAAAGGTACAAGTATGCTTAAATTCTTTTAAATTCTATACTTAGTTGCAATAAAAACCAAACATAAAGGTACAGGATTCTTAAATAATCTTTAGCTTCAGAATTTAAAATTGTTTAATCATCTTTAGCAGGAATAAAATCTGTACCTGACTTTATTTAATGCCTTTCAATTTATAGCTTTTATTAGGAATTTCACTGAATTTATAGAGTGTAGAAATAGATATTCACTACTCATTTAAATAGATCATCAACATCTGGTCGTGCATCAACCATTATTTCTATTTCAATTATTCTAATATATTATCTCTATAAATATCTGCATGTGGCAAAGAGCCTCTCCTCTTAAGATTCCAAAAAGCTGGTTACTTGCCATTGATGGCCACAGCACTGGTCCACTGGGACATGATATTTTACTTGTTACTTCAGATTTCTCCATGTACAGACACTCAGGTATTGACTGCATAAAGCTCTTTTTGCAGACAGAGTCAAAATCAGAAATAAATACCAGTACATTGAATAAAGGGATGAAAAATATTTAATATTATAAAAATTAGTAATATAATGAAAAAATCTGATAAATGTTTATTTTTTACCTTCTGCTTTTGATCTTTGTATACTTATGATCAGGTGTTGCTAGAGCTTTTTGGTCTCTAGATCCTTGGTGGCCTTTTCCTAGTAATAATAACATTGCTGATAGCCTGACTACCTTCTGCTGGAACAGAAGGCAATCTCTCCAATGTTCCAGTCCCTATGTTTATATGACACCCTCAGTTTAAATGCCTTTGCCATCATCTGACATCCTACTAGATTAGAATGTCTTAATGGCAAATTGATTACCTTGCAAAGATCAACTTGACTCCAAAGAAAGATTCAGAATTCCACTTCATTTGCTGCAACATAGAGAAATCTCAACGTTCATTTTATTTTAACACAGACCAGAGTGTTCTTTCCTCTGAGTTGTCTGTGAGCTAATTCCACTGACGATTAGTGAGGAATTAAAGCTTTTGTTGTATAGGACATGAATGAAGCCCACCTCTCCTTTATTATATACTAAGGCATTACTATACATTTATTGTGGCATTACTTACTGTGGTCCCTTTTTTGAAACAAAAGTGTAAGTGCTTGTTCAAATTGTACCTTTTTTTTGAAGTTTTAATCTTACAGATTTATGGCGATGGTCCTTTTTTCTTCATATTGATTACATGTGTTAAGCAAGTCATGGCCATATACTGCTTTTCCTTAGAAATAAGTTTCCCACAGATAAGGTATTCATGAGCATTGAGAAAATCAAGACATGTGCTCTAAATTACATGGAATATTAATTACACAAGAAGGTAATGACAGTCATTGGAAGACAATCACACTTAAACATTTAACCACAGTTCAATGATGAAACCTTAGTATTTTAGGGATAATGTGAAGATAGGTTAGAATTGCCACCTGTACATCTCCAAAACACAACAATGTGCACACCCTAAACACTGCTTATAGTATAATCAGTATGAGGAAGAGTTGATAAGTCTATGTCAATCATCTTGTGTACTATGTAAAAATATCCTCTAGTACAAAACATTTATGTATTTAACAGGTGACTCTTTTGTTATGCCATAACTCCTACCACATTTATAGACACTAGTCAGTTAACTGAAGGTTTTTCTTGTGTTATGTGTAAATGTGTGAAAAGTAAAATAATCTTTGTATTCCTGTGAAGTCCGTGAAGTATGAGGAAGTGCCATTTCTTCTTGTTTGATTTGAGTGGCTTTGGTAGTTGTGTTGACTCTCTGTACTTTGTAATGTGAATGAGTGTAACCAGGTCTCTCAACAATGGCTTCTTTGCTAGCTCTTTCAGGAACGGTGAAGAAAAAAAAAATGTACTTTACAGTCTCAAACTATCCAAGTTTCCAAATAGGAAAAATAAAGATATATCATGACTTTTATTCTTATTTTATGATAATTAGTTTTACATATTGTGGTACTCCTTTTAAAAATCAACTAGGTTGAACCAAAAAAAAAAAAAAATCCACTAAGTTGTAAGGAAAAAAATCTGGCCCTGTAATCCTTTGACAATAACCTCAATCACCTTGTTACTCCCAGCCTCATTCTTCAGGTCTGCATCTGTTTCTGAAACAAAAAGGGTAGCATTCATATGGATGCTGGTGTAGAAGAGTCCCTCAGAGCCTTCTCTCAGACAACTGTGTTTGTAGTATACCCCTCAATATGTATTTAGGATGCTTTAATTAGCATTTAGAGCCCCAACTTGAATTACACTTAACTGAATCACAAGTTAGAGGCAGACTGGTTAGGGTCAGATTTTGTTCTTTGTTTTTATAATAACTTTTTAATTTGCAGCTGTTACTATGACCTAATAACAGGTTAACTCAATAACCTAATAATTAAGTAGGACCCCAAAATCATATCTCCCTGTTAAAGAAGAAAACAGAGACTTTACTATTATCCAGAAGTTATTTTGCACTTGACTAAAGTTTTCCCACTTAGGGTGGGAATAGTAAATTGATGTTTACTTTTGCTTCCTATCTTTTTTGGTTACCTTCCAAAGTCAAAACAATTTTTACAAATGAACCTTTTTGAATAATCTATGTCCTGCCTGTCTCCTGTTAATCTGCAGACTTATTGCCAGGTATTTATCAACTAGTCTTACATTTCCCAAACACATTTACTGTATCCATTCATTGTCACCAAAATCTCCCTGCTTTAGATGTGCAAGTTCTACTTGGTAGTAATCGCAGACGAACTCTGGCTTATAACTGACATGGTCTTTTAGAGGATCAGATCAATAAAGAGGGCTTTTTATTTTTTATAGTAGCTGTACCCACTGCTTAAAATAAGGAATTTCAATTAAGAATTTTGACAGCACTCATAGTGAGACATTGACAGAAAACTGATGTGAATATTCTAGATCAGTGGTTAGAAGCTATTGTATTAGTTAGGGAACGCAATAGGTCATCATTTCCCTCCCTGGCACTCAAGACAGATGCCAGGTTCAGAGACTGAACATTTCTTGGTGCTATAGGGAGGAGTGGAATCTGTTTGCTTACTAAGGAGTCTCAAAAGTCAGGGGCCGCTTATAGTTATTACATACATAAATATCCTTCATTATCCAAGATGTTCATGTACAGGACTATGTGAGGAAATTAAGTGTTGGAGGCAGGTGGGGGGCCAAAGGTGCTGACACCACTTAATTCGATGACCACTTTCTCTCTCCCCTTTGTACCATCTGCCATCTCTCAGCAATGTTTCCTTTGGTCTTTACCCTTCCAGGGTTGAGAGCAGCCTAACTTTGCCTTGAATCCACCCAGCCTCTTATGTTAAAAGTGTGCATTGTTTTATATATGGCAGCATGTTAGAAGTTTTATATCTGGCTTTGTATCTTCATTTACCTTTTTACAGAGAACACTGCCCACACTTGACTTATGCCTAAAATCTGAGATATCACCACATTGAAGGCTGTGATTTCAGGAGGAACTGAAACATTTACAGTTAAATAGGGAGTTTGGCAGGGAAGAGGACTTTTTTTTTTAATTCAGAATCTTATTTATATGCAGTTAAAATTTGAAGTACTATAGTTTATATTAAAATTGAATATTTAGATACTCTGTTTCAGTACTAAGAATATTTTTTTGCAGCCACTAACATGACAGATTAATCGATATGATGAAAATGATTGTCAGTAAATTATCATATTGAATTTTTTGTAGTGTTTCTGTATTTGTTTTCACTTTGAATATATATGCACACATACATATACAAACATGTACATAACCTCATGTTATTCCTAATCTCATTTGCTACAATATCTTTAATGTATGTTGCCACTGTATTTTAAATTAATTAAAAAAATAAACTATGTAAGCTCATTTTAATTTAGTCTTTGTACTTCAAGAGCCACTGTGTTGGAGAGCAGCTGCCTTGGATTCATACAGAGAAAAAACAAAGTTTCAAATACTGTGAATGGTCATTTTGGGTGTCATTTTGGGAAAATCATAGTAGAATTAATAAACTTTTCCTGACAATTGGACCTTTTGCCAAGAAACTGGCATTATGACAGATCAGGAAAATGTTAATGTCGGTACCTATTAATGATGCAGATGTCTACAGGAGAGAGAAGTAAATGAGCCATAAACAAAATATCAAATATAACAGGGATGCAGGCTTACCTGAAAATATAAGTTTGCAAAAGTTTACAAGTGTGCTATGGAAGAAATATCAGCATGCAAACACTCCCTTAGATTTTTGTTAGTTTTATGACATTCTTGATCACTAATTGACTTCTAACTAAAACTTTTTCTGTATCAAAAAAAGAGTTAATCCTGTATTTATTTTGTACTGCTAAGTGGATTGTTAGAGTGCAGCAATCACCTTGTAAAAACTAAGCCTGACAGGTTAATAACAGTGCCTTTGAGCATAAAACCTGATCGACTCAACTGGATTATAACTTTCCTTGATATCAGAAGAGAAGGAAAAAATTCATGACACAAGATTGTTGAGATAAAAAGACTAATGTGAATCAATGTAAGTATGAGTAACCAGGAAAGGACTGTCAGGATAGGTATTAGAAATCATTATGGATGAGCTACTGTTTGAAAATGTTAGGTTAGAAGAACTTAACCTAGATGCAATTCCTTATCATTGATATTTTAGAAATAATAAAAACTAGTTCCCAGTAGCCAAAACTGGAATGGTTTGAGCAACAAAATAAGTAATGTATCATGATTGGGTTGTAACCCAAAGTATAAAATACTGGTGAATCCACACTGATACAAAGGACAATAAATTTTGTTTATATAAACACATGTAAAATAGAGAAGAGACAGATATTCTTTAGAGAAGAGTTTCAAAGAATTGGAATTGTATTACTCTTCCCTCCAGGGGGTAGAGTTTAACTTTTCCCTACTTGAGGACGGGCTGTTAGATTTAGTGATGAATTTCCAAAAAGTAGAGTATGGAAACTATTATAACTTTAGAGAAAAGCCAATCAGATATTATCCTCACATCATCAGTGAAACCATGTAGGTTGTAAGCCATAACATGATGTGATGAGAAAAGCCAATTACCTCTGGATTTCTTTCCCCAAATCCATACCTCCAATCTAATCATAAGAAAAACATCAGACATATCTAGATGGGGGAAATTCTACAAGATAGTTACTAAGATACTAAGTTAGTACTTCTCCAGACTGTCAAGGTCCTGAAAAATAAGAAACTGTTGTAGATAAAAGGAGATTTGGGAAGCCCAACAGCTGAATGCAATGTGGACCCCTGGATTGTATCCTGGAAAAGAAAGAAGACATAAATGGAAAAGCTGGTGTTGTATAAATAAAGTGTAAAGCCTAGTTAATAGTGGAAAAAATGAAAACAGTAACAAAATCAGCCACAAGCTTGTGACATGAACTGGAGCCACCTTATCTCCTTTTTGGAATTTAAGTTGCTTTTATTCAAAACTTAAGACTTTCACATTTTTCTCTGCTAAGTGGGATCTGTGTGCAGGACATGTCTCTTGTTCATTGTTGAATCCCAGGCTTGTTCAGAGTTGGGTATACATCAGGGTCAGCCCCTTTCATTAAATGAATAAATTCATTAACAAAGGAACAATCATTGTAAGCTGTTTTAGAATTTAGATAATGCAGTTGTAGGCTTGGATTGTTTTTGTGTCTCTGTCTCTTTGCCCAGGAATAGTGGATTTCAGTCTTTAACATCCCCGACATAGGACTATTATATGTTCGTAAGGACGAGGATTAGACACAGATTTGCTCTTTTCAATACTAGTTTGGTTTAAGGATGATGTTGACGTCAATTTTCTAAACCATTAAACACAAAATAATCCCAAAATTTGAAAAGCTATGTTAAACTTACAGTTGAATTTCATGAGCCAAAGAATTACTGTTAAAATTTTGTGCAGCCAAAAATTTAGAAGCAAAAATTTTTCAAAGTTTTTTATGTAATGGTTCTTGTTACTTAAAAAAAAAAAAAAAAGGATAGAAGAGAACATTTGAAACCACTTCATATAGGATGCCACTGGGAACACAAATCCCCAAAATATTAAAATTGAATGCTTGCAAATGCTGTTTCTGGGTGTTTAGGGTAAATAAGCCAAGTATGGCATGTCAGCAGGACTCTGCTTATTGATAGAGATTAGTTATCCGAAATATTCTACCTCCAAATTACCAGAAGCCAGTCTACTGGATCAGCCTGGGTTAGAGAAAGAAAAATAACACCCTACCTCCTAGTCCTCATCATGGGTTTTGATACTCACTAACTTACCTATCTACAGACAGGTTTTTCACAGAATGAATGAGTCATAAGTTGCCTTAGCAATTATATAGTTCCAGTGCCTTTCAAAATTTTTTAAAAAACATTTTTTAATGTTTATTTCTAAGAGAGAGAGAGAGAGAGACAGAGCATGAGCAGGGGAGGGGCAAAGTGGGAGACACAAAATCCAAAGGTGGCTCCAAGCTCTGAGCTGTCAACACACAGCCCAATGTGGGGCCTGAACTCACAAACTATGAGATCATGACCTGAGCCAAAGTTGGATTCTTAACTGACTGAGCCACCAAGGCACCTCTTAAACATTTTTGGAGTAACAATTATTTCTTCAAATAAATCTTACTTGAAACAAATATGAGCCAGCCTATTGGAGTGTGTGCCTATATGTGTGTTAAAAAATGCCTCCTCTTCCTCCATCCAGGCCCACAGACACTCTGGCATCTCCATAGAACATGTAGAGCTTTTTAGAACAAGGTATGGAAATGCCTTAGTCTAAATCTCTGCTAATTTAGAGACGGGGTCATATCAACACCATTTTATAGCAGAATCATGGCTCTTACCTCTGCTGTGATCTGACCACTAAATTTTTGACTGTGTGGAGGGCAGCTTCTCCTATACTTTGATCTTTGTAAAGTCTAACTTTATCTGAAAACGATATCCTCTGATGAATATCTTCCCTGATGGATGCACATGGAGCAGAAAAGCAGAAGAGTAAG